AAAAGAAAACATTAAACTGGCAGGCGATGGTGGCTCATGCCGTAGTCCCAGCACTTTGGGAGGGGCCGAAGGCAGGGTGGATCACTTGATTCCAGGAGTTCAAGACCAGCCTGGGCAAACATGGTGACCCCGTCTGTAACAAAAATTACCAAAACTTAGCCGGGCATGGGTTGACTGCGACGATCTGTAGTAGCCAGCTTACTGGGGCAAGCTGAGGTGGAGTGAGCAGCTTGACGGTCCAGGAGGTAGGGTGGCAGTGAGCTTGAGACAGCGACCACTGCACACAGCGCCTGGGTGGACACAAGTGAGACCCACGTCTCAAAAAAAAAAAAAAAACATTTGCCGGCAGGGTGGCTTCACGCTTTAACGTTTTAATCCCAGCACTTTGGGAGGCCGAGGCGGGCAGATCATGATGTCAGGAGATCAAGACCACGGTGAAATCCCGTCTCTACTAAAAATACAAAAAATTAGCCGAGCGTGGTGGTGGGAACCTGTAGTCCCAGTTACTCGGAGATGCTGAGGCAGGAGAATGGCATGAACCCAGGAGGCGGAGCTTGCAGTGAGCCAAGATCGCGCCACTGCACTCCAGCCTGGGCACAGAGCGAGACTCTGTCTCAAAAAAAACAAAAAAAAAAAAAAACCAACATTAACTTACGCCAGCATTACCCAGATGTTAAAGTAACCCTTCACTATACAAAACTCAGTGGAAAACACTTGAGGAAATATTCACCCATATTTCAGTGACACCGAACAAATAAGATACTTCCTTGCCAAAGAAATCACAGTCTGGCGGGGGAGACAGGCGAGTACATAAATAATTATAAAACAGATACGCTAAGAGAAGACTTTACCAAGTGACGCAAGAGCACAATTTACTACCCTTCTGGAGATGGGCGGGGAGAGATTTTTAGAGTATTTTCACAGGAGGGCAATTTTGAGCAGAATCTTGTCAGAATGGGAATTTCTGAAGTAAAAGAACAAGAAGCCACAGAGCAAGTACTGTCAAAACAGCTCTTGATCTTTCCCTCCAAAATTGTTCCTTCTCTAGTAGTCCCTAAACTCTCAATAAAAAATGCTGATTATCCACACTGGATTCAATCTAGAAACCTAGAAATCATCCTTGGCATCTCCCTTTCTCTTACACTCCATGTCAAATCCATCTCTTGAATTAGTCTGCCAATTCAAGCAGACTAAATAGTCTGTTTAGTCTACTGACTTTTACCTTGTACCCCACAATGCTTTCTCCACAAAACAGCCAAAGGTACCATTGTCAAACATTAATTTGAACATGTAAGCACACTCCTCATCCCATCCTCAAAAGCCCTCAATGATTTCCCATTACTTTTTGGATAAATTTTTAAAAAATTACTGTCAACTGCAAGGCCTCTGCACACCTCTTCTACATCACAGTTGCTGCCTCTCCCTCTTGCTCACTAACTGCCAATCACACAGACCTCTTTCGTATTTCCGATTATTCCTCCTTGCTGCAGGCCATAAGGACAATGTGTTCCCTCTACCTAAAACAAACATACCCTTTTCAACTCTCCAATTTTCTAATTAATTCCTACTAATTCTTCAGGTCTCAGCTGAAAAGTCTTCCTCAGGTCAAACTCTCCTAAGCCTTTAGATTAGGTTCGATTCCCTTTTCTAGCCACACACAGCTCCCTGTACTTCTCCTTCCTAACACTTTCCCCAAGGACCATTATACCATTTGGATGCGTTTTTATTGAGTATCTCTTTCCCTAACCCTATTAAATTGAAAACTCTATTAGGATGGGACCAATTTAATCTTGTTCACCACTGTATCTTCCTGCCCTAATTAGGTCACATAAAAGGCACACCAAAAATGTTAAATGTGAGGCAGCATCCAGGGAAGGAAAACAGTATGTGCAAAAGCATGTGGCTGCAAATCTATGATGAAACACAATACACAGGTGTGAGAATGACAGAGATGTAATCATGTCCTAGAAAACTGAGACCTTTCCTATTGCTTTTTTTTTTTTCTTTTGAGACGGAGTCTTGCTCTATCGCCCAGGCTGGAGTGCAGTGGCGCAATCTCGGCTCACTGCAAGCTCCGCCTCCCCGGTTCACGCCATTCTCCTACCTCGGCCTCCTGTGTAGCTGGGACTACAGGCGCCCACCACCACACCCAGCTAGTTTTTTTTTTTTGTATTTTTAGTAGAGACGGGGTTTCACCGTGTTAGCCAGGATGGTCTCGATCTCCTGACCTCGTGATCCGCCCGTCTCGGCCTCCCAAAGTGCTGGGATTATAGGCGTGAGCCACCGTGCCTGGCCTCCCATTGCTTTTATTTGGTCAGGCATTAATGTTCTACATTACAAAACGGAAAAAATTATTTTCCCACTTTTCGAATTTAATATTTATTTGAATACTGGTTTTTTTGTTTTGTTGTTGTTGTTGTTGTTGTTGTTGTTGACACAGTCTCGCTCTGTCACCCAAGCTAGAGTGCAGTGGCACAATCTTGGCTCACTGCCACCTCTGCCTCCCAGGTTCAAAGGATTCTCCTGCCTCAGCCTCCCCAGTAGCTGGGATTATAGGCATGTGCCACCACACCCGGCTTATTTTTCTATTTTTAGTAGAGACAGGGTTTCGCCAAGTTGGCCAGACTGGTCTCGAACTCCTGACCTCAAGTGATCTGCCTGTCTCTGCCTCCCAAAGTGCTGGGATTACAGGTGTGAGCCACTGTGCCCAGCTCTAATACTAGCTTTTTTTGAACTACACTAACTCCATAGAGACCATGATATTCTCACCCAATCGATCTTCTGTCCTGTCAGAATGACTTCTCTAAGATATCTATGACCATGTTAGTCCTCTAACCAAAATCCTACCATAACTTCTATTACTTCCACCAACATTTTGAACTTAGGGAGGGGGTGGATGAGGTGAGAGTCTGAAGAAATCTATGACTGTCCAGATGAGACATGAGGAAGTCTTGAATCAGAGCAGTGAAAGAGAAGAAGCAGATGTGGAAGACATTCTGGCACAAAAAGAACTTTCTGCATGGTCAACATAACCACAGCTCAGAGTATTTTGGCAAAGAAAACAAAATCAAGAGTTGTAAAAATTTGGACAGTTTTATTAATGGGTAATTAAGAAATTTCCCAAGGTTTTAAAACCAAACCTCTGT